AGAAAATTGGGGGGTGGGAGGAGGTTTTACCCTGGTACCAAGCGATGCCCCGCAGGGTCATGTTGAGCAGCGGGTGGATCATGGCGTTCCAGAGCACGGAGGGCGTTTGCGGGCCGGAGAGCTGCCGGTGCGGGGAGATGCTGGAAGACAAATCTGGGCTTAAGGGGCTGCAAAACACAAGTGGGGGGACTCCAGCGAAAAGGGGGTCTTTACTCCACCCCCTTTACCCGCTGAGATGTCCCCGGTGGGAGGAGATTTCGCGCAGAGCGGGTAAAAGGACGGACAGCAGGGAGAGGAGGTGGGCTGGCAAGGGCTGGAGGATGCCCCCCAAAAGCAGCACGGCGCAGGGCAGGAGGGGTTTTCCGCTGTGTCTTCTCTCACCTCTCCGTGTCCTCCGGGAGCCCGCAGGCACGCAGAGCTCTTGGGGAGGACCAGGTCTCGACGGGGGTGCCCCCCCAGGCCGCCTCCACCAGCCCGACGGGGTACCGCAGCGCCTCGTAGAGGTAGCGCCCCAACAGCCAGCAGACGGCCGAGAAGTAGGTGAAATTCCCGTGGCCCAGGTTTTCTGTTCAAGAAACAGCAAAAGAGAAAAAGGTGGTGGTGGGGGGAAAAAGAAGCCTTTCCCGGGTTTTTTTTTTTTTTTTGGAGGCCTGTTGCACTCACCGGCCGTCGGGATGGACCACGGCAAGTTGATGCGCTCCAGGTCTTCCAGCTCCACGTCGGAGCGGGCGGGCGCTGCGGCGAAGACGCGGACGTAAGGGTAGCGAGCGGCGTCGGCGAGCTCCTGGCTGGCGTTGGCGATCTAGGGAAGGGTCGGGAGCGGGCAAGGCGCTTCCCTGCCCGATCCCAGAAGGATCGGGGCCGTGCCGTGGGGGCTTACCTGCGAGACCGTCATCACCATGTTGCTCTGCCCGCTGCAAAGCCAGACGTCCCCAAAGTAGATGTCCCGCAGTGTCACGTTCTCCGAGCCCTGCCCGGCTGTCAGTGTGTAGGGACCGCCCCGATCCATAGGGTCCAGGACAGTTGTCCACGTCCCAGAAGGTTCTAGAAGAAGAAGATGGCGCTTAGCTTTCCCCTACAAAGACCTTTGCAAAGAGGTGGGATGGGTGACCAGCAACCGGCGGGGATGGACAGGACAACAAGGGAAAGCTTTCCCACTGCAGAGCTGGGACAGGGAACTGGATTTTGGAAGCATCCCCGCCATCGGAGGGTCTTTCCTCCTGCAGGGACTGAGGGGTTAAAAAGAAAATCTCGAAGACAAATGTGTGTCAGAGCAGAAGCTGCTGGGAGGAACTGGGATTACAGGAGCAGCTTGGTGTGTGTGACACCGCGATGTCTCCAGCTAATTTTAGAGGCGCCGAATCGAGGCGTAAAGATATTCTGCTGGAGCTTAGCGTGGATTTTCTGGCCTGGCTGGGGCCGGATCCTGCAGATCTCCCGGTAGCGGCAGATCGCTGCTCTCTCACAAGACGCCTCCGGACTCTCCGGCTTATGGAGGAGCCCTTTAGGCAGCAGTTTCACCCCCAAAAAGGTGACGAGCAGCCCCCCCTGCGACTCCCTAGGCAGAGAATGAGGCCACCAGCTGAGATTTGAGATGCCTCCGAGCGACTCCCCCCCCTCCTCCTCGCCTGGAGGAAGGCTCTGCCGGCGGCAACATCCTTCAGGGCTTAGAGATCGGACATCCTTCAGGGCTTAGAGATCGTCAGCAGGATCCTCCGAGAGAGAGGGGAGGGGAAACGGCCCAAAAAAAGAAAAAAATAATAAAAAAAAATATAAAAGGGGAGGCAGGAGTGCTCTGGAGATTTCCCCGGAGATGATTTTGACAGGGAGAAGAGCTAAATCCCCCCTCCCCC